AGTTCTCAGCTACTATATGTCAAGTATATGTTCTAGTCCTTTCTCTCTCTCCACCCCATCAGGAATCCCAGTAATTCTGACAGTGGAACGTTTCATGGTGTCATCAATTTCTCTAATTCTGTTTTCATGGACTTTATGTTGCTTGTTCAAGGCCCCCTCCTGATTCTTCTTCTCTATCTTTGTCTTTAAGATCACTAACTCATTCTTCTGCCTCATTTACCCTAACTGTTAGAGTATCTAAATTAGATTCAATCTCATTGATAGCATTTTTAAGTTCTGCCAGATCTGCTCTCACTTCTGCCCTTAACAAATCTCTGTTGCCATTAATAGCTTTCTCTAGCCTCACTATTGTCTATATAACTGCTACTCTGAAGTCTATTTCTGACATCTTGCTTAGATCCATATCCATCCATTAGATCTGCTGGAGAGGTCATTGTCTCTAGGTCTTTCCTTTGTTGGGAATTCCTCCTACTTGTCATTCTGTTGAGTTGTGGTTGAGGTGATGCACAGCTAAAAATGACAATAACTATCCAAGCAAAGTGCACCCTGGTAGGTTTCAGAGCAATCAGATGTTACCACAAAAAAGAAAAAAAAATAAATCCAGCCAACATAAGCCCCAAGAATAAGATTTATAAAGTACAAAAACAAAACAAACAAACAAAAGTCCAACAAAAGAAAAAGAAAAAAAAAAACAGCCCAAATGAGCCCCAAGTGTAAGATTTATAAAGTACAAAAACAAAAGCAAACAAATAAACAAAAAGACTGACAAAAAAATAAAAAATAAATGGGGGAGGTGTGAAGGGAGGGTAGTTATAATCCCTGATATGTGGGCAAGGAAAGGTATTTCAGTTCTTCCTGGGTGTATCTTGTTATCTTTGTTAAAGAACTCAACTTTCCAGAGATAAGGATAACTAAAACTGGTATATATATATATATAAAGATAGTATTGAATAGGGAAAATAAGCACTACATTGAAGCTTGTATCTATCTATCTATATATTAAAAAAGAAAAAGGAAAAACATTATATATATGAAAAACTTCAAGTCAAAATGTTATTATGGAATATGTTTTATTAAACATCTAGTTGAAATGGTAAGTGGGTAAAAAAAAAAAAGAAGAATCATGAGAAAGAATTTTAAAAAAGAAAGACAAAAGTTTTCTCTAAGAAATGTAGTCTATGAGGCAATACCAGGAGCTTAATATACTCTTTTCCCCTGGTATTGGGTTTTTACAGTTTTATGGGGGACCCTGTGTTTGTTGTCCTCTTGTTCTTTCAGCATGTCTTCTGAGGTAGGGGCCTGCAGTGTTGTTTTTCAGTCTATCCTGCTTGGGTGGAGTTGCCCTGCGCCCTATCAAGGGGCTGGGCTCTGTGGAAATCAGTTTTATGGGCTTTTGTTCTCTGGAGGCTTTTGTTCTTTGGTGGCTTTCCATGCCTTTTCAGAGAGAGTCAGAGCAAAGTAAACTGTCTGCACCCAGAACTCTGCCTCAGAGAGAAGGCACAGACTGCTCTTCTCTGAATCCTCCAGAACACACTGTCTCCACCTCTGCAAGCCCTGTTGAATACTGCAGACTCCCACAGGCAGTGAGCACCCTTAGTGACCCTCTCAGTGGTCATCTGAGCCCCCTGCTTGTCTCTGTACCCCTGTGCCATCAAAAACGCAAGTGATACTTGTCTGGCTGAGCCCAATCCTGGTGACTGCCATTCCCAGGACTGCTGACTCATGTCCAGCTGGATCCTCTCAAGCATGGGTGGGCAGCAGCTGTGGCTGGTCCCAGGGCAGTGGGCTTAGGTCTGTGCCTATGGCTACCTGGTCCCAAGAATTTTCCCTTAAGTCCCTTTGTTCTGTTTGAGTGCTGTTATCAGTCCCTTTCCATCTCGCAGCCACTGGCCTGCAAGCTATAGCTGGTCCCCAAATGCAGGAACACTTTCACATTGGGGTATTACTTTCCAATGGCTCACTTCTGGTGGCTCCCTTACCCTTCTGTTTATTCTCTGATATCTGTCTGTGCAATTCCAACTCTGTCCTTTGTACCTTTCAACTGATGAGCCTCTGCCCCCATACAGATCCAGAAGTGTGTAATCTTACATCTCAGGCTGATTTCATGGGTGTTCAGAGAGCTCTGGTAGATATCGAGCTCAATCTAGGGGACCAACTGAAATAGGGTCCCTTACTCCTCTGCCATCTTGCCCCCTTTGAGCCCTTGTATTTAATTTTAACTTCCAACAGTATTTACTGAGCATGTACCATGTGCCAGGAACTGTGCTAGGTTCCTCTACAGAGGGAGAGACAGTGTGTTCTGGAGGATTCAGAGAAGAGCAGTCTGTGGCTTCTCTCTGAGCCGGAGATCTTGATGCAGACAGTTTACTTTGCAAAGACCCTCTCTGTGCTAGGTATTGGGGAAATATCAGTAAATTAACAGGTAAAATCCCCTGCCCTTCATGGAATTTATACTCTATAGGAGAGAAGAGCAATAAAGAAAACATGTAAGCAAAACATACAATATGTCAGATAGCAATATGTAAAATAGAGCAAAATAAAGCAGGAAAGAGGGAGAGACAGTGCAATTACAATTTTAAATAGAAAGTTCAAGGAAGATCTCAAGGAGAAGGTGATATCTGAATAAAGACTTGAAGGAGGTGAAGGTGGGAGCCATGAAGATATCCGGAGCAGGAGTGCTCTAGGCAGAAAGAAAAGCCAGTCCAAAATCTGTTGCAAGGGGCATGCCAGACATTTTTTTTTTTTTTTTTTTTTTTTTTTTTAGGAACAGCAAGAAACCAGAGTGTCTGGAGTAGGGACCAAATATGAGAAAGGTGAAGGAGATGAAGTCATAGAGGTAAGAATATGTTGATCACACAGGACTTTGTAAGTAATAGTAAGAACCTGACTTTTACTCAAGGAGAGATTGTCAGCCGTCATATAGTTTTGAGCAGAGGAGTGATATGACCGAACTTAGATCTTGATAGCATACCTTAGCTGTCAGGTAAAGAACAGACAGACCCTATGCCATTACAAGACAGCTAGCATTTTATAGCAGTGCTCCTCAAACTTTAATATATAATGTAAGTCAAATAGGAACCTTGTTAAAATGCAGAATTTTACTTGGTAGGTCTGGAGTGGAGCTAAAGATTCTGTATTTCTAACAAGCCCCCAGGTGATTCAGATATCAGTCTAGAGCAGAACACTTTGAGGATAAGAGATATGTCCAAGGCTAGTGTGGAGCAGAACTCTATTATATGTTTGCTGAGTGAATGACATATCAGTGGTTTGATTCCCAATGCCACATAGCACATTTCAGAGGGTAATTTTCAGCTATTTGTATGAAGGTAAGGAAGAGGAAAAGATAAAAGAGAGACATGGATGTTTGGGTGAATAGATGAAAAGGAAAGGAAGAGAGAACTACCTTTTTACAAATGACTATAATATTATGTTTACTTAGTTTATCAAGAACTGAAGGCTTTGGTGTAGTTAAGCCCACTGGACAAATCAGAAAAATCAAAAGTCAGAGGAGTTAAGGGGCAACTTCAAGGCCACCGAGTTCCTAAGTGACTAAGTCAGGATGTGAAAGTGAGCATTCCATGTCCCCACAGCTGTTGTTATTTCTACTCTACTGCTTCATAGAGGGGGAAGTGGAAATAACCATCAACCTCCCGGAAGGGAGGAAAAAAATGAGTTGAGGTGAAGAAAATTAAGGCCCATAGTCACTGGATTTGATCTTTCTAGATCTGCACTGTCCAATGTGGGTGCCATTTAGTCATGTGTCTATTTAAATTAAAACTAAATAAAATTTAAAATTCCATTTCTCAATCGTACTAGCCATGTCTCAACCACTCAATAACCATAGAAGGCTGGCTTGTCAGTAACACATTGGAGAATGCAGAAGTATTTTATCACCATAGGAAGTTCTATTGGGTAACAATATTCTAAAGAAACAAGAACTTTTAAAAGTGTTAAACCTGTATTATTGATTCCAGAGCAGGTCCTGACCTCACTCAATAGCACTTAGGGGACAGATATTAGGACCTGACCCCTCATCTGGAAAGAAGGGGATAAACATATTCAAAGTAGAGTTTTCCTTGGGTCAAGCAGAATATTATGTGTGTGTATGTGTGTGTATGTGTGTGTGTGTGTGTGTGTGTGTGTGTGTGAAAGAGAGAGAGAGAGATTTTTTAAAACATTCTTTCTTCCATTTCCCATTGGTATTCCCAAACTGTTCAGTAACATGCCCTTTGAAAATGTCAGCTTGTCTCGTAAGCTCAAGAGAGGATGAGAAAAAGGGCTCTCATTCTTACTCAGGTTAGAGAGATGGAAGGGATAGAGTCAGGGAATGTGGAGCCACATCTGGGGAGCAAAGTGGCTTGTTGAAGGAGCTGGGATTTATCTACTCCATCCTTATCTCCTCCAGATTCCTCCCCCTAAGCACTATTCAAGTGTTCTTCAAGTGAAGGAAGAGGACCAATAGCATCAATTTCAATAGGAATGCCTGTTAGACATAGAGATGACTTGGTTTACCCCAGACTGAAATTTCACAACTTTGGGGAGGCAGAGGAGGCTGGAATGGCATGTTCAACAAGGCACTCCAGGGACTGTTGTGCACATTTAGGTTTGTGAACCACTGAGTTGGAGGGAGATGTGTCTGTGCTTTAATGAATGAAGTCAGGCTTTTATGTGGTGTGGCAACAAACAAATCAGAAGCTAAAAGCATAGAGGTAGAGATTGAGGGAAGGGAAGATGGGGTGAGGGAAGCAGGAAGACATAGGGAAAGAAGGAATATGAAAATGAAAGATGAAACTTAGACAGAGAAAGAGAAACTGATACAGGGACTGAGAAGCTCCAAGGGAGCTATTTCACCCATTGAGCAGAATATAGGAGGCCAATCCAGCTGCTCTTTTCAATATCTTGGGACTGTCACAGGAAAGCTCAGCAGAGTTGGTTCTTCATGAAAATGTCCTCTACCCCACCCTGGGTACCCCCACATACACTATCATAGCTGGGCCTACCTCACAAATGTCCTTGAGGTGCTTGATATAATGACGTTCGGTGCTCATGATCTCATTGATGACATTGGCTCGCATCTGGTCCCGGTTCTGTAGTGGCCGGCCCAGACAGAGGCAGTCTGAGTTGGGGTCCAGGTGCCCATTCTGCACATCACTGGGCCCTTCCTCCACCCCATCCTCCTGGTTCACCCAGAGCTGTGGAAGCAGGCAAAAGAATAATAATAGTTTCCTTCTTTGAAAAGTTTCTAGCCAGGCTAAAAAAAAGGATAAACTAAATTCTTCAAGTATTCAGAGAACACTCAACCAGAGGCCCCTGGTTTGACTCTATGTGGCTTGCTGGCTTTATGCATGATTTTAATCCTCTCTAGGCCTCTGATGACCTATCTGTGAAATGAAGGATGCAGAATGATACAACTAAATCATCTCCGAGAGGTTTCTTACCTAAGATTTCAGAGGAGAAAAGAGTTACATCAAACAGAACCCATTTTTTTTTAATTTGAGAGAGAGAGAGAGTACACAGAAGGAGAGGGAGAAACATACTTCCTGCCAAGAAGGGCGATGATGTGGGGCTCAATCCCAGGGCCCTGAGATCATGACCTGAGCCAAAGGCAAATGCTTAACTGACTAAGCCACCCAGGTGCCCCAAACAGAACTCATTTGTGCTTGAGCATATCTAAGTAGCACAGCTGGATTAAAAAAAAAACAACAACAACAACAGATGAAGCTATATATCTCAGGCATATGCCACAACTTGATCAAACATAATACCTATGAGCAAGGAGACCAAAGTTGGATACTGGACTGAGCATCTTGAAAATGGGACCTTCAGTGTTAATTTACACCAAAAGATGTACAAATAATAATTAAAATTTGACTGTAAAATGCCTTAGGTATGTAAAGATCTCTACATCTTCAATGTTGGAGTGGACATGACAGAATGTCCCCAAACCACATAACAGCAACTGTTGATTGAGCACTTACTATACAGCAATCACTATGCAAAGAGTTTTCAATGAACTATATTACTCAGTCATGCTAGCATATACCATTATTATCTCTATTTCACAGAAGAGGAGACTGGGGCTCAGAGAAGTTAAGGAATATCTCCCAAGTCACACAGTTAGGAAAGCAGAAAAGCTGGGATAGGGATGAGGTGGTCTGACTTCAAAGCCTGTGCTCTTAATGACAGTACTAGCATCTTTGTACCTCTGGTTTTATGGAAAATAGGAAAGAGTAGGGAAGGGCTTGGGCTAAGATGATTCTGAATCATCAGAAATAGATAGAGTTGGTAAATGTTGAAACTATACATCCCAAAACATAAAGGCAAAGGGATGCAGGAAAACCTCTTTTGGGGAGGCTGTGTGAGATGTTTCTGGATCTGGGATGACAGCTTAAATCAGGGAGATGGCTTATCTCCCTAGTCCTAGGAAGAAGGAAGGCCAGGGGGTCAGGGAAAAGGGAAGGGTGGAACGTTAGTAGGAGTGGTAAAATCTGCCAGGGTACTTTTAGACAAAGAGCTTGTCAGTTGTCTCAACAGCTTTAATCAACAGTCCATCTTTCCCTTCCATACCCCTTCCCCCTGCACAAACTTTCTCTACTTTCCTGCCTCCAAAACCTGAGATCAAGCAATTTAGATGCATCACTATTTCTGCCACCAGAAAGGCCTGTTGGTGAGTGGCCTTAGAAGGACAGAAGCTTTGGGATGGAGCTAGAGGAACATTAGTTATTTCTAAACTCTGTGTATTCTCCCCTCTCTTTTTGCCTCATAGAGAATGGGGGTTGGTTACCACCCAGCAAACCTAGAAATATCACCAGCATATAGTCTATGTATTTGTCATAGGCCATAGCAAGTAAAGAACACTTCATTTTAATGCACTTTGCATACACAGCCAAATGTGCAAAAATGTATCTCCATTCAGAAACTTTCATCCTTTACAAATGTTCTTTTGGAAATCTCTCCATCTTTCAAAGGTCAACTATGTGTCTTCAATATGCTAACAGCTGCCCTATAATACAATCAATAGGCAATGATGAAGGATGATTAGTCAAGGAACAGATCTGTTCAAAAAGTGATTCTAAAGCACTGAAGCAAGCACATCATATACATGTCATCTATGTGAAACAATAAAAGCTTCATCCTATAATAATTCATTAGGTTTTCCCAGCTTTTCACAATGTAAGCTAAGCTCTTATAAAAAGGGTACCATAGGCAGGCTTTTAAGAGATTTAAAATGAAACATTTATTTTCTTCTTAGGAGTTTAAGACAAGTCAGTTCAAAATACTGGCTTTTGGGTGGCTGGAATGAGATGACTCTCTGGAACAGTTCCAGTGGGAAGGAACACAGGATATCTGTGGGAGTGGGATTCAGACAAGCAAATGTCTAGAGACTGGCAAGTTGGAAGACTTTCCTGGAAGTCTTCTCAGAGTACTTGAAGACTATTTTCTTTAACCTTTACTGAACGCTAAGCAAAGTTGGGTTAATGCAATGCAATTTAACAAAAGTCTATTTTGGACCTATTCTTTTCCTCACCACTAACTACAAGACACAAGGATGAGCAAGATTTCTAATTCCTCCAGATCCCTCCTGCCTCAGCAGTTCCAGGGAGTGCTTTCCAAATCAGAGAATATCACTGGTCTTCATCTCTTCCTATTCCATTTCCACTGTCATGGTCCCCTCTCCCTAGATGATTTCCCTGGGTTATCTCCCAGTTCCAATTCCTCCCATTTGTCATTATCAGACCAATTTCCTTAACTATTAAATTGATTGGCTAGTCTCAGCCTCCAAAATCCTCAATAGTTCCCCATTACCAAGTCCAAATCTCTCACCCTAGAATTCAAACATTACCATAATTTGGCTTCAATTTTCATTTCCATCCTTAGCTTCTACTATGTCCTCCAGGAAGACTGAGCTTCTCCCAAACTGGTCTACTTTCTGTCTACAAATATTCCCAACCATGGTCTTTAATCCCATACTTGATCATGTAAATAATAGAATACAGAGGCTTTCAACCATTTCAGCAACAATGAACCAACATATCAACTTCCTGATAAGAAACTTAAGCCCATAGAGGAGAAATAATGTCAGGGAATTACCAACTTACCCAGATCCCCATTTTAATATGCTTTTTAATTTTGTATATATCTTCCTTTTTTCCCTTTTTTTTTTAAATTACACAATAGATACAGGAATACATTTACTTTGTAAAAAGTTAAAGAAAAAGAAGAAAACTCAAAATATTAAAATCAGGAATAAAAGACTAAATATTACTGCCAAGCTAACAGAAAATTTTAAAAAATGATTCAAAGGAACACTATGAACAACTGTATGCCAAAAATGAGATAACCTGATGAAATAAATTCCTAGAATGATAAAAACTACAGAGTATGACTGAAGAGGAAATAGAAAATCTGAATAGACCTATGACAAGTAAAGAGTAATTAAAAACTTCTTGGGGCACATGGGTAGCTCAGTTGGTTAAGATTCTGCCTCCAGCTCAGATCATGATCAAGCCCCATATCAGGCTCCCTGCTCAGCAAGGAGCCTGCTTCTCTCTCTCCCACTACTCCTGCTTGTGTGCTCTCTCCCTCTCTTTTTCTCACTGTCAAATAAATAAATAAAATCTTGAAAAAAATTTATTACATGGGAAAAAGAAAAACAAAACAAAACAAAACAACAACAACAAAAGGACCAGATTGGCATCACTAGTGAAGTCTACCAAACATTTAAAGAATAATTAACATCAATCTTTCACAAACTTTCAAAAAATAGAAATGCAGAAATTCCCAACAAAATATTTGCAAATCAAATCCAGTAACATATATATTAAAAAAAATCCACATTACCAAATGGAATTCATATCAGGAATGCAAGGTTGATTCAACACATGAAAATCAGTCAATGTAATACACCATATTAATGGAATAAAAGTTTAAAAAATACATAAGCATCTCAATAGACACAGAAAAAACACTTAGAGAAATCCAACACCTTTTCATGATAAAAAAGAAAACATTCAACAAATTTGGAATAAGAAGGAGCTTTCTCAAAGAACTGATAGAAATTTATGGAACACCCATAATTAATGTACTTAATGATGAAAGGCTGAATGCTTTCATCCTACAATCAAGAACAGATATCACTTTCATGCACATGTATACTGAGGGCTAGAGCAATTGGAGAAAAAAAACATTCAGATTAGAAAGAAAAATTAAAACTATTCACATATGACATAATTTTAATATATATATATTTATATAAATTTTTATATATAGTCATATATATATATATATATATTTAATCCTAAGGAATCCACACACACAAAAATCCTGTTATAACTAATAAATGAAGTCAGCAATGTTGCAGGATATAAGATCAACACACAAAGTCAACTGTTTTTCTGAAAATAAATTAAGAAAACAATCCCATTTAAGTAGCATCAGAAAGAACAAAATCCTCAGGAATACATTTTACAAAAGAAGTGTAAGACATGCACAATGAACACTGCAAAACATTGCCGAAAGAAAGTAAAGACCTAACTGAATAAAAAGATATCTCATGTTCATGGATTGGAAAATTTAATATTGTTAAGATGGTAATATTGTGCAAATCGATTCAGATTCAACACAATCCCTATCAAAACTCTCAGCTTGTTTCTTGGCAGAAATTGATAAGCTGATTCTAAATTTCATACAGAAATTCAAAGGACCAGAATAACCAAAATGATTTTGAAAAAGAACAAAGTTGGAGGACTCACACTTCTGATGCCAAAGCTTACTATAACCAAGTGAGTGTAGTACTGGCACAATAACAGATTTAAAGATCAATGAAATAGATGAGAGTACAGAAATATACCCAACATTTATGCTAAACTGATATTTTTCAAAGATGTCAAGACAATTCAAAGGGGTAGCATATAGTCTTTTCAACAAATGGTGAGGGGGCAACTAGATATCCACATGCAAAAGAATAAACTTGGACTCACACCTCACACTACATATGAAAATTAACTTAAAATAGATTAAAGACCTAAATGTAAAAGCTAAAATGATAAAGTATGTCAAAGAAAACACAGAAGGAAGTTTTTGTGACCTTGGATTAGGCAACGGTTTCTTGCATATGACACCTAAAACAAAAACAACCAAAGGAAAAGATTTAGACTTTATTAAAATCTAAAAAATTTTGCTTTGCAAATGA